CTGAATCTCTGGTTAATTTGCAACTAGCAGATTGCTGTTCAAGGAACCAGAATTCAACCTTATGCTGCTAATTAACCTTAAATTTGTGATACTTAAACACAAGTTCCTTTATTAGTCAGTTCCTGTTCGTATTTAAGAAATGAAAAGGAGGCTTTGCTGTTCTTGCACAGGTCAGGAAATGGCCTTAAAAACAAATGATTAAGTTCTTCTTCACATGGTTATTTTAGGGGCACACACTATTATACATCAAAACCTGTGTAAATAAGCCATGTCTGTACTCTACAAGAATGAACACACCACTAATAAATTTCCATCCTGTACTGAGAAAACAGTCCAGACAGGAAGAGTCCCCAACGAGAGAAGATGAGATTGGTGCAGAAGTGGAAAAATGAAATGCCTAAAAGAGGATCAACTAAATGGGGAAAAGGAAGGAGGCAATATATATCATATTTGCATAAATTCAAATCAGCAAGCGCCTACACTCAAAACATTAAGGAAACAGAAACTTCTGTGCCCATATTGGCTAAAGCTGTACTGTGATACGAGGCAAAAACTCTGAATTCTTCAAATTTCTCCTACCAAGCTGCAACAAGAAAAACCCAAAAGTTCCTTCTCCAGAAAAAAAGCCACCGATTTTTTTATTCCTAGGCACTACTGTGTGTGCCTTGGGTTAATCTGAAAACCAAGAACACAAGCTCTGTGTCCCTAGCAATGACATCCGAGTTGGTTCTTTATTTTGTTTCCTGCCACAGAAGACCCAATTCTGCAAGAACAGGTGTCACTTCTTGATGTGCCATTAAGGACAGGTGAAGGTAGAAATAGGTTCTCCCAGCTCCCACACAATCCATAAAAGTCCGATATCTAAAACAGGTTTGTAACTAATGATATGAATTTCAGTCCTGATGTCCAAATTTCAGAGTCCTGGAAAGGAGGCTTCATGTACCTACGTAACATGTGATATACAACTGTTCAGTGAAATCAGAACCTGGGTCTGGAGCGTATCAGTAAAAGGAAGTAATTCTCAACTCATATAGATTTGTGTGTCCTCCCAGCAAATCTGCAGGGGAAAAAAACAGCAGGAGAGAGAGAAGTTGTTTCCCAATCTCCACTTGCATTCCTCGTATTTATACCCCAATCACCGTTCTTATTGCAGAGGCATACATGGGACTTCCCCCTCTTTACAAACACATTTACTCTCACCTCCACTCTTCAGGTCAAAAGCAGACAGAAATCAGACAAGTCAAAATGTTCAGACACACCTAACACATGTCTATGATGCACTTAAATCATCTGAGGAATATTTGGGAGTTTACCCTGTACTAGACCTGGGGATAAAAAAATGAATGAGTCCTTAAAGGACTCACAGTTCAACAGCTGCTGCCAATGGTATATCTTGACCCATATAACTCAAAATCAGCTCAAATGCAAAGGACAAGACAATGCAGTGAAAAGGACCACTGGACGAGCCATAGCCTTATTACTCACCACCCAGATTGCTGCATCCTAGCTGATTTCCAGGCTAGCAAAGCCATCTCCTTTTCAATTTGTCCTGCATTCAACTACCCGGGTCACTTTAAGAATTCCACTTTCAAGGAGTCTCTTTCCTGCTCTAGAAGCTTCAAAGACTCCTCACATCCAGTTCAAACGCTTCAAGTTAAAGCCTTGTACAGACGAGCTCCACTTAACCTGTTCAACTTTGTTTCATGCTCAATATGGCTCCCTTCTGCCAAACCCTTTTAGAGGGGAAGGGCGCAAATCCCACTCCACTAGTTCCTCTAACTTCTCAGGCAGCCTTCATTCTAAGCCGTCTTAAAAACTGTTTCCTCTGTCATCAGCACAGATCCATTAATTGTCTGACATCCCTTCAGGGCTGGCCATCAGCTTTGTTAACAAAGGGCAGGTATGTCCCAAGGCATTTTTGACATTGCCATCCTAACCAGATGCTCATCTTCCCTGCCACCCCTTAGTGAAGTCAGAGGGTCTTGACTTAGTTAAGTCACTGGCAGTTGGGGCATGGGAGTCCCAACACTGCACCTTGTAAGAGAAGGAAAGAGGGTCTGGAGCGGTTGCAAACCACGGAGAGGGAAAACGAAGGAAGCAGAAGACGGTAGGAAAGATTCGTACTCTGTACTTTGTCTTTCGTTTGGAATAAGTAGGGAGAGGGAGAGGAGACTCCAAGAAATGAATTCTTGAAAAAGGCAGAAGAAACTCAAGGTGCTCCCTAGGAAGGAAGTATGGGCCCCCGGATAAGGGAAGGCCTCCCCATCCCCTCTGGGAAAGAACGCTAAATTGCAACATGAAACAAAGAGGTTGGGAGTCAGGAGGTGAGGGGGGAGAGGCTTCCGAGATCTGGCATCTCTGAAGGTCGAGCGCTAAGGAAAGGAGAAGGGACGCGACGCCTCCCTAGGGGAACTGGCCGAATACAGGGGACGCGGTTGCCATGAGGGACGAGGTGGGCGCCCAGGACGGTCCGGGGCGAGCGTTTCTGGTGCGTCGCTTCCACGGGGCGCGGGGGCGGGGAAGTGTTTTTGAGTGGGATCTTCTCCCAAAGGGAGAAACGGCTTCCCATGGCAGGGACCTCCGAAAACGGGAATCCTGAGGACGCGAAAACGTTAAACCGCTGAGGCACCGGCATTTCCCAGCCCCAGCCCGGCTTCCCCACACACTCACCGCGTCTCCTCCAAACGCCACCGCTCCAGCTGCAGCTACCGGCCGGCGCAGCCGCACTGAGCGCGCACCGCCCCCACGTGACTCGGTCCTGCCCCGCCCCGC